CACTAGGAATGTACTGGTGAACAAAAATGGTCTTAGTCCTTCTCTCCTGCAAATGATGAATAAGTAAAGACCCTAGGAAAAAAAAAAGGTAGTGTGCCCTGAAGGAATGGAACATGGCTCTATAAGATCGTGCAACAGAGGAAATTGACCAGATCTGGGAACCAAGGGGAAATCTTTCTTAAGAAAAATGGAGCAAATTGACCTCTGAAGAAAGAGGCTTTGGAGAGGATGTAAGACTGTAAGGCAGACAGGGGCCACGTCAAGTAAGCAGTGTTCAAGATAATGGGCTTTTACCTGGGATGATTAAAAAACTACTGGAGCATTTTATAGAAGCAAGTGGCACAATCAGATTTACATCTTTAAAAGAATGGTCTGGCTTCATATAGATAAAACTTCAAGAGAGCCAGTTAGGAATAGGAAGCTATTGCAGTTGTTGACATGAAATCTTGTGTGCCTTGGATGACTGACTGTACCATGAATAACAATAATTGTAACTCTTTAAAGTAGAGATGAAAATAAATTGATGGACTTGAGACATGTTTAGATGAATGACTTTCACACTTATTCTTCAAGATAGAGATGGCCCTGAATGGCAGCAATTGGTCTTTGATCTCTTGCAGCACACAGACAGATATTTTGATGTATAGGGTTCCTTTCCATGGATATACATGGGTTTTAGTAAAAGCCTAAAACATGGCAGAGAAAGTATTACAATAATTCAAAATAGCCATGACTGTTAATCAAACTTTTTTTTTTTTCAGTGCTGGGGATAGAACTCAGGGTCTCACACATGCTAGGCAAGTCTTCTACCGTTGAGTTACCTAACACCAGCCCCTGTATTATTCGTACTTTGAAAGTGAGTTGCCTATTTAGATTGTGGCAGCTGCTTTCAAACCATGACTCCTGCAAGCAACAGCAGCAGCACCTGGACCTTTTTTGAAAATGCAAATTCCTGGAGTCACTGTAGACCTCCCATATTGAAAACTCTGAAGGTGGTGCCCAGGAATCTGAAATGAATGGCCTTGCCATGATTCTGGAGCACACTGAAATGTGAGAGCCTCTGGATTGAGCCAGCATACAATTTACACTCCCTCTCAAACAGCAAAGAGTAATTCCACCCTTATCTTTTCCTTTCAAGAATAAAGTGAAAGATTCGTGGCTGGAGAGTTAACCTTGAATATATTCTAATTTGTATTTTGGCAAGCCAGTAATTTGCAAAATCTGACAATTCCTGGAAGCAGGAACTCACCACCCACAGTGGCATAGCAGTTGATGGAGATGATACATTTAATCATTTCTTTCATTCTTTGGATACACATTTATTTTGTGTCAAATATGCATCAAGGCCTTTGCCAAGATGCTGGGAGTGTATCTGTGTAGAAAACAGAAAGTCCTTGCTGACATGAAAGGTTTGGTTGGGGGAGGAGGCAATTAGCAACCAAATAAACAAAATAGTTTCATATAGTAATAAATGTTGTGAAGAAAGCAAAATATGGGTCAGCTCACGCCCTGCTTTCTCTTCCCTCTGGCTCAGGCGCCTTTCTTCTAGTTGCCTCCTGGGGGCTGTTCCTAGTGGTGGTGACTGCCTTCCCCACCTCAGAACTTCACAGAGAAGGTGTAGAGGATGGTGTCACTCAAAATAAACCAACACGTGCCTCTTCAGAAAAAAAACGCAGGACAGATTTCCTACCTCATCAAGGAAGTCTTCAAAATAGAAAAACGCTGTGCAAGAATGATGAGACCTGTATCAAGAGCCATGTGGCAGTGTCCAATCTGAACCTTCCAAAGATGACTGAAAAAGATGGATGCTTCCAAACTGGATATAATCGGGACAACTGCCTTGTGTGAATCACCTCTGGGCTTCTGGAGTTTCAGATGTACCTGAAGTACATCCGGAACAAGTTTCAGGAAAGCAGGAACAGGGACAGAGCCAAACGTGTGCAGAACAGTTCCAAAACCCTGATTGAGATCCTGAAAAAAGAGGTGAAGGATCCCAATAAAATAGTCTTCCCTAGCCCAACTGCAAATATCAACCTGTTGGCAAAACTGGAGTCACAGAATGATTGTCAGAAGGTCATGACCATGCAACTCATCTTGAGCAACTTTGAGGATTTCCTGCAGTTCACCCTGAGAGCTATTTGGAAAGCATAGTGTGGGCATCTAAGCTAATTGGTTCATGGACATTCCTTCCTATGGTCAGAAAACATGTCCTGTCCACTGGGTACCTACCTTATCTTGTTCTCTACGAAGAACTGACAGTATAAGTGTTAGGACACTATTTTAATTATTTTTAATTTATTGATAATTTAAATATGAGATTTGAGTTCATTTATATGTGATTGATATTTATAATTTTATGAAGTGCCACTTGAAATATTATTTTATATAATGGTTTTGAAATGATAATATAAAAGTCTAGACAGTTTGAATATCCTGCTTCAGAGCCAGATCTTTTCTTGGAATGTATAAATTTACCTCAATAAAATTGCTATTTTATACGTTTTTAAAGAAAAACAAAAGCAAAATATGGACACCAGGAATAGAAGATCAGGAGTTGCTTCTCTAAAATCTGAAGGATGGGAGCCAATTAAGAAAGATGTGGGGGGCGCTGGGGTTGGGGCTCAGTGGTAGAGCGCTTGCCTAGCATGTGTGAGGCCCTGGGTGTGATTCTCAGCACCATATAAAATTAAATAAATGTCCATAAACAACTAATAATAATAATAAATTAAAAAAAGAAAAGAAAAGAAAGATCTGGAGCGAGAGAGTTCAAAACTGAGAGAAATGCATAGTGGGCAAATGGCAGTGTGGAGCATTTCAAGGAAAGAACAAAATGCCAGTGTGGCTAGAATAGAGTGGGTGAGGGGGATCCTGGTATTGGTGGGAACTGCTTATCTCTAGTCATAGCAACAATCTCTTAGATTTGTCTAGCTCTTAAAATGCAAAGCGTATTCTGATCCAGTCAAGTTTATGAAGTCATCACAGAAATATCTTCACCAGGTGGTGACTTGAAAGAAAGGAGTGGTAAGTAATCGTGGGGGGTAGGGGACACAGGAACACTCTCTGTACACTCCCTTTCTGTTTGTGTGCATCCAAGGAACCTGACTTGGAGAATCTGAGCATGTAAAGGAGGTGAAACCATCCACTTTTCCAGAACCATCTCCCTCAGGCATCAGTGAACATGTGACTGACCCAGTCTGCGGGAAGCTCAGGACTTCTGTGAACAAGGCGGCACTGCCCGCTACCCTTCTTCTTCTTCTTCTTAATATTTTTTAGTTGTATTAACTTTATTTTATTTATTTTTTTAAGGTGGCGCTGAGGATTGAACCCAGTGCCTCGCACATGCTGAGCCACAATCCCAGCACCCCTCCCCTCTTCTTTTTTTTTTTTTTAGAATTTTAATATTTATTTTTTTAGTTTTCGGCGGACACAACATCTTTGTTTGTATGTGGTGCTGAGGATCGAACCGGGGCCGCGTGCAAGTCAGGCGAGCGCACTACCGCTTGAGCTACATCCCCAGCCCCCCCTCCCCCTTCTTGATCAAGGAAGTATGTAACCCTTAGGGACTTCTAGTAACCACTATAGAATCCTGAGAGTAGCAAGTTTAGGATGAAATTCATACAATTGACCCTTAGCCCACCATATCTCTGGGGGATTGGTTCCAGAACCTCCCATGGATACCAAAATCAGAGGATGCTTGAATACCTTATAATATATAATGCTGTAGTATTTGCATATAACCTGTGAACATCCTCCTTTATATTTTAAATCTTCCTAGAGTACTTATAATACTTTAATTGTAAGTGCTTATACTTTATAAGTACTTATAAAACTTATAATTACTTACAGTACTTTAATTATAAGTACTTATAATACTTATACTTACTTACATACAATGTAAATGCTATGCAAATAATTGTTACAAAATATTTGGTGGGGGGAACAATGATAAGGAAAAAATCTGTACATATTCAATACAGAATTTTTTTTCTTAGTACTAGGGATTTGACCCAGGATATTTTACCACTGAACTACATTCCCAGCCCTTTTTGTTTTTTATTTTGAGACAGGTTCTTATTAAGTTGCTGAGGCTGAACTGAAACTTGTGAACCTCCTGACTTAGCCTCCTGAGCCGCTGGGATTACAGGTATGTGCCACCATGCCTGGATGTGCGTGTTTTTATTTTAATAATATTTTTGATCTGTGGTTAGTTGATTCTGAGGATTCAGAATCCAAGGATGCAGAATCTGAGAATACAGAGGGCTGACTGTATGTCAAAGTACAGAAAAGAGAAACAAAAAGAAATTAATCCTATCATACCATTGCTTCAGTCTTAACTATCTTTGAAAATTTCAGCCAAAAATATATGAGCCAACAGGTTCCCTTCATTGTTTAAGCTTTTATTATTTAAGTTTTCCTCTTACTTGTAGCCAAAAGTGTTCCAATATGGCAATAAAAGACACTGTCCCCTTAACAGTCCTGCCAGAAAGAGGTTAGTGTAGGAGTCATCCAGACAGTTCACAGCTATTCCATTTATTTTCTTTCCACCTCCTGTGAAGTTAGTTGTGAATATGTTATTTCATTTTTTTAAAGAGAGAGTGAGAGAGGAGAAAGAGAGAGAGAGAGAGAGAATTTTTAATATTTATTTTTTAGTTCTTGCAGGCGAGCACGCTACCGCTTGAGCCACATCCCCAGCCCAATGTTATTTCATTTGATTGATAAAACACAGTTGAAGTGTTTATGTTTCACTTTAGGGTGTGGGTTTTTTGGTTTTTTTCTTTTTGGTGATGCTGGGGATTTGAACCCAGAGGCTTGTGCATGTGAGGCAAGCACTCTACCAACTGAGCTATATCCCCAGCCCTAGGATGAGGGTTTTAAGAGTCAGGTGTAATTCCTCCCCTGTCAGGGTGCTGGCGGAAGTATTGAGATGGGGGCTCCAGGCCTGAGTCCTTAGGTAAGAAGGGCAGAGGCCACCTTCCCCAAACCACATTGGAAACGTAGTTATGTAGCAAATTACCCTCAGGCTTACAGCCTTAACATTTCTTACTTCACCAACACTTACTATCTCCCACTTTCTGCATATCAGGAATTCTCTCATGGTTCGATGGCCACCTCTGCCTCAAGGTCTCCCTCAGAGCTGGTCAGGCTATCGTCCAGGGCTGCAGCCTCATCAGAAGGCTCAACTGGGACGTAGTCTGTTTCCAAGCTCCTTCATGGGGTTGTTGGAAGGATTCAGCTATCATGGGCTTTTGAGCTATGTTAGTTACTCACTAGTGCTGGCCATAGCCCTCCCTTAGTTTCTTGCCACACGGGCCTCTCCGTAAGGCAGCTCAGAACATGGCAGATGGATCCCCCTCAGAGAGAGAAAGATCCTCCCTTGAGAGGCAGAAGCAGTGGAGGCAGGAGAGAGAGGGAGAGAGAGAGAGAGAGAGAGAGAGAGAGAGAGAGAGAGAGAGAGAGAGAGGAGAAAAAATTATTTACTGTGTACACTGGGTCAGTAGGAAATGTGGGGATGGGAAGCTATTTCACTTCAATCCATGGGACGGCAGTGATCTGTACAGTGGCTAGGGCCTACAGACCGTACCGGGTGAGACAGCAAGAAGAAAGCCCAGAGAAAAACATACTCCACCATCTTTAACCTGCTTCCCCCAAATTCTTCACTTCTTACAATAAAATGGTCTGAATCTCTCATTTTGAAACACCTCGTTAACTCAGCTAACACTTTGTTCTGTCGGCTCAGCAGATCCAAATTTCCACCCACAGCCACATGTATGATTTGCCTCTTGGAAGAAAGGACACATCCAAGTGACAATGCATCTGAGAACACCTTAACTTCTTCCTATCACAGCTGATTCACTGAAAGTCAGAGGGAAGTGGGACTTACCCAAGGTCACTCAGCAACTAGTGGCAGAGGTAAGACCTCAACCCACAAGATCAAAACACGTATCCCTGACCTTTATATGTCATCAGCACAAGCACACCAGACAAGTTGTGCCAGTCAAGAGCCTTCTTATTTCCGGACCCTTCCTGCTGTCCATATTTAAAATTGCTAGAAGTAGCCAGGCATAGTGGCAAATACCTATAATCTCAGCTGCCTCAGAGGCTGAGGCACGAGGATCATAAGTTCAAGATCTGCCTGGGCAACTTAGCAATGCCCTGTCTCGAAAAATTAAAAAGAGTTGGGATGGTAGATCAGTGGTAGAGCACTTGCCTAGCATGTGAAAAGTCCAGGGTTCAATCTCTAGTAGTAAAAAAAAAAAAATCCTAGAAGCATTTGAAGCTTTGTATTCTGTGCATCCATATGCTACTTCTATTTTAGGCTCCTTCCCAACCTTTTAGAGGTGAGGATTGTGTCACCCAGAACTCTGCACTGCAGCTGAAAGCCCACTTTAAACTGCCTTACTTCATAAAGGGAATTTATCAACCTCTGAAACTACCAACTTCAAGAAATGAATGAACTGCAGATTGAGGGGAAGTTGGATTTGGCAGCATAGCAATCTTTATCTTTATTTCACTTATGTTTTCTTTCTTTCCATTTCTTGGATAAAACTTTTTTTTTTTTTTGTAGTATTGGGGATTGAACCCAGAGCTTTGTGCATACAAGGCAAGCACTCTACACTGAGCTGTATCCCCAGTGCTTTATAAATTTTTTAATTCTGAGACAGGATCTTGATAAGTTGCCTAGGCTGGCTTCAAACTTATCATCTTTTTGCCTTGGCCTCCTGAGTTGCTAGGATTACTGCTAAGCTCCACCATAACAGGGCTAAAGCTTTTGTTTTTAAATTGGGGTATAACTGATACACAATTTATAACTGATACACAATTATAAAGATACATAATTTAAATTTATAAAGATATACAATTTAAACTTTGATAGAAATTTGTTAATTTTTTAAAATAAAAATGTATACATATACACCAATGAAACCATTTCTTCAACCAAGACAGTGAATATATCCATCACCCCCAGAAGTTTCTTTGTGTCCTTTTATAAGTCCTCTCCTCCCCATCCTCTAATCTCTTGGCAACCATTGATCCACTTTGAGTCACTATAGGTTAGATTGCATTATCTAGAAATGTACACAAATGGAATAATGGTGTTAGTCAATTTTCTGTTACTGTAACAAAATACCTGAAATAATCAACCCATAAAAAGAAAAGGTTTATTTTGACTCATAGTCTTGAAGCTTTCAATCCATGATCAACTGGCCCTGTTCCTTTGGCATGTGATGAGGCAGCACCTGATGGTGCGAGCATGTGGCAGAGCAAAACCACTCAAGGTAATGAAGCAAGAGAGGGGGGTGGTAAAGAGAGACTAGTGTTCTCTTATCTCTTTCTAGGGCACTTTCTCAATGACCTAACTTCCTCTAACTAGGTCTCACCTCATTCCACAACCTGGCAATAGCACCATCCTTTACCACATGGGCCATAGTGAACCTCAATATTCAAATTATAGCATGTTTTTCTGGGAGCGGGGTAGGTTCTGGCTTATTTCATTCATTCACTGTTATTACTTAAGGACTCATTAATGTTCTGCATTTGTCCTCATTTGTTCCTTTTTTGTTGCTAGTTAGTATTTTATTTTATGGCTATACCACAACTTGTTTCTCTAGTCCCATGGTGATAGACGTTTGGTTTGTTTCCACCTTTTGGTTATTTCAAAGAGGGTCTCTAAGAACATTAGTGTGTAAATCTCTATTTGAGCATAAGCTTTCTTTCCTTTTGAGTACACAGTCAGGAGAGGAATAGTCAGATCATAGGTAGGTATGTATTTACTTTGTAAGAAACTGACAAAAATGTTTTCTAATGTGTTTGCACAATTATTTTTGTTCTCCCCAACAGCAATCCATGAGAGTTTCAACTCCTCCGCATCTTTGCTAATGTGAGAAGTAGAAAGTTCAGTGGTCCCTTTTTGTTTTACTTATTTATTTATTTATTTTGGTATCAGGGATTGAATTCAGGGACACTCGACCACTAAGCTACATCCCCCAGCCCTATTTTGTATTTTATTTAGAAACAGGGTCTCAGCTAAGTGCCGTGCCTTTGCTGAGGCTGGCTTTGAACTTGCGATCCTCCTGCCTCAGCCTCCTGAACCATTAGGATTACAGGCGTGAGCCACTGTGCCTGGCTTCATTTTCAAAATATAGTATTTAGTCTTAATTGTGATATTAAGATCCAATCGTAACCATTTTAACTATAGCCTTTCCCTTTGTCCACCCCAATTTTAAAATTAGCTAATGGCATGGATTGTAACTCCGAGCCCTCCTACCAGAGCAAGGGTCAGTTACTGTGTTAGCAATAAAAGCAGGGAGACTACATGCCCTGGATTTTCTTTGGTAGCAGAAATAAAGTCTGCCTTGCTGAGCTGCTTCTGAGCAGGAGTTTGATTTCTGGTGGCACCCTGGTATTCTGACACTATGGTCAATCATTTTAAGTTTTAACCATCCTAATGGATGCGAACTGGAATCTCCTGTGATTTGAGTTTGCATGACCCTGATGAGCAGTGATGTTGAGCATCTTCTTATGTGCTTAATGGCCATCTGTTAAAATGTCTGTTTAAAGAACTGCCACTATTTTTATGATATCTCATAACTGTTATTCAAGTCAAAATATTTTCTAATTTTTCTTTTGGTTTTGTTTTTCATCTGTGGGCAATCTAGAAGCATGGTTTTTGTTCACTAATTTGGGGAATGTTTCAGAGACTTTTCTATTATTGATTTCTAATTTAATTCCACTGTGATCAGAGAACATACTTTATATACTTCAAATTCTTTCAAATGTGTACAGATTGTTTTATGGCCCAGAATGTGGCCTTTTTGGAGGGTAGGTACTGGGGATGGAGCCCAGGGCCTTGAACCCAAGGCTAGGCAAGTGCTCTACCCTTGTGTGTTATGCTTCAGCCCCTATCTTTTTAAATGTTCTATGTGTGAAGGAGAAGAATATCTATTCTGCTGCTCTTGTGTGGAATGTTTTCTCAATGTAGATTAGGTCAAATGGGTCGACAGTGTTGTTCAAGGCTTATGTATCTTTATTGATTTTCCATTTGTTCTATCAGTTATTAAGGCAGGAATATTAAATTATTCCAACAACAATTATAAATTTGCAGTTGCAGTTTTATACATTTAAAAGGCTGATTACTACGGGCTGAGGTTGTGGCTCCATGGTAGAATGCTCACCTAGCATGCACAAGGCACTGGGTTTGATCCTCAGCACCACATAAATGTAAAATAACCATATTGTGTCCACCTAAAACTTAATAATAAACATTTTTAAAAGGCTGATTACTTTTTATTCTACCCTTGCAGTCATTTTTATGTATTAGTCACATAACAAAATCTATCATTTTAAAGTGTACATTTTAGTGGGCTTTCATATATGTTGTACAGCTATCACTGCCATCTAATTCAAATGCATTCGTATTAGCTGGAGAGAAACCCCATACTTGGTAGCACTTAATCTCAATTCTGTCCTCCAAACCACCCTTGGCCACCTCTAATCCATTCTCTATCACTGTAGATTTTCTTATATTCTGAACATTTCATATAAATAAAATCCTACAATATGTGGCCTTTTGTGATTGGCTTCTTAAGTGAAAGCAAAATATCTTCAAGATTTGTCCACATTGTTGCAGCATGTGCTAGAATGTTCTTCCTTTCCAAGGGTGAGTAGTACTCCATTGTATCCATTTTCCTGTGGCTAGACACTCAGATGACTTCCACCTTTTAGCTGTTTTAATGTTGCTATGAACAGAGTTGCACAAATGTAAGTTTGACTCAATTCTTTTGAGTATGTTCCAGAAGTGGAATTACTGGATACGTAGTAACTCTATTTTAAATTTTGAAGCACAAACTATTTTCCATAGTAGTAGCACTTGTAGCACACAAGGACTTCCATTTCTTCTCTGCCTCCTTATTATCATTTTTTCCCAGTTTTGTTTGTTTTGTTTTATAATAACTATCCTTGGTAGTGTCCTTTGACACACACGTTTTTCAAATTTGGGTGAAGTGAAATTTTATATCTACCTATATCTATATACCCATCTATCTTGGGTATTCTAAGAAACCGTATCACCTAATACAAGGCCACAAAGATTTACCACTAAGTTTTTTTTTCTCAGAATTTGTAATTTTACCTCTTATATTTAATTCCCTGATCTATGTTGAGTTAATGTTTTATACAGGCATCTGGTTCCTTCTTTCACATGTTGATATTCAGTTGCCTCAGTATCATTTGTTATAAGATTATCCTTTTCTGATTGGCAGACTTATCTGAAACCAATTGCTCAAAAACGTGAGGGTTCATTCCCATCTTCTCCATCCTATTCCATTGATCCATATGTGTGTTGTTATGCCAAAACAACATCGTCTTGATTACTATAGTTTTGTAGTAAGTTTTGAATCAGGAAGTGTGTAACTCCAATTTTATGGGGATTTTTTTCGAGATTGTTTTAGCTATTCTGGTCTCTTAATTTTACAAGTGAATTTTTGAATAAGGTTGTAAATTTCTACAAAACAAAACAAAACAAAAAACACCTGAGATCCTGATAGAGATTGTGTTAAATCTATAGATCAATTTGGGGAATACTGCCATTTTAAGTCTCTCTCCATAAACATCAGATTCTTTCTTTTGATTTAGATCTTTTTAAAATTTATTTTAATAATATTTTTCAGTTTCCAATTTACATGAATTTTGTTAAATCTGCTCTTAATTATTTTACCATTTTATGCTAAAATAAATGAAATTCTTTTATTAAAAATGAAATTCTTTTATTTCATTTTTGAACTGTCCATTGCTAGTGTATACAATGGATTTTTGTACATCAATATTGTATCCTTCAGGGCTGTGACTGTGGCTCAGTGGCAGAGCGCTTGCCTGGCATGTGTGAGGTACTGAGTTCGATCCTCAGCACCACA